GTCAGGTTTGGGGTATCCGGTGGTTTTCCTTAGAGATTGGGGCCTGGCCGTGCCCTGGGGAGCCTTCCCAGGACCCTCATTCAAATCCTTGGCATCCCATTTTATACATTTCATTATCATCATTTGTCTCCTTTTTGGGGTCTCCAATGCCTTTGGTAATCTGTTGAAAATTACAGATGTTCTTCCGAGAATACCCTCGTGCATGCCATTGAATGGGTGTTCCTAGAACCGCCTGCAGGCCATCCCCGATGTTAGGGACCCCGGGCTAGTGGGTGTTTGCTTGACTGGATGCACAGCATTCATCCCAAGCACGAGAGGACCGTGGGGAGCAGGCCCCTGACAGGTGGTTTTGAGTACGGCTTGTAGGCACGTACACACAGTGGGTCCGAGGGTAAGCACTTGATAGATGTTTGCTGCAAGACAATGAAGATAAAGTTGGCCCTTCACAAGCTTCTCACACCTTCACGGGGTGCCTCCAAGGCAAATGCCTCCATCTGCTAGCTGGACACGTAAAGCCTCAGCAAAGTGAAGTGGGCAGTGCTGGGGAGGGCCCGTGTCCAGCGTCTGACCAGGGCTGGAGCGAGGGTGAACCGAGGTGGTGCTTAGCCAGCCTTAGCACTCACCTTTCTACAGCTGAATGGTGGTGAGGCTGAGGCTCCTCCTCCTGCCCCCCCCATAGTTGTGCCCTCCGGGAATTTATAATCCACCTGCAAAATCGGTAAGAAGAACGAAAACCACCCCAAGCCACTTCTCCTTTTCTCCTAGTTGTGCCTTAGAGCTGCCCTGTGAGGTACACCTTTTCTTACCCCCCTTTTATAGATGAGGACAACTGAGGCTCAGCAAAGGTAGTGGAGTTCAGGGTCCACCCCCAAGTCTCCAAATTCCCAGATAATTAGTGAGCAACATATATAGTTAAATGCTAACAACTTAGCGCTTAATTATGTACTGTTGCACATTGTATTGTATATAATTTCATGCTAATTGCAGGGTTTCAGAATGAGCTGAAGGGAGTCGGGCGCAAATGGCAAGGGAAGGCTTCGTGGAGACTTTGGGAACTCAGCTGGGCCCTGGAGAAGATTTGGGTGGAGGCTGGAGAGGATGGGGTGGATTTTTCTGGAAAAGGGATTAGAATGATTAAGGTGGTGGGGTAGGAATGAGCATGTGTGGGGAGGAACTAAGATAATGCTCTTTAAATAATGGAACTCTATAAATGTACCTAATAGTCACTGAGAACTTTCTAAGTGCTGGGTACTGTGCTAAGTCCTTTCCACTGCTACGGCTTCCAATCTGCATTTAACCCTACGCGGGAAAGAAAAATCCAACCAGACAGATACTGTTATGACTTCCATTTTAACAGAGGAGTAAACTAATGCCAGTGTTGCTATTGGGAGCCAGGCCTGGTCTCAAAACTCATGTTCTCCCCAGCTCAATTTCAGAGACTGATTGATTAGAGGTGGGCTAGACTCAGGACTTGCTACTCCAAGTGTGGCCCAGGAGCATTGCTTGGGAGCTTGTTAGAAATGCAGGTGTGGGGGGCGCCCAGGTGGCTCAAGTCAGTTAAGCTCCTGCCTTAGGCTCAGGTCATGATCCCCAGGGTGGGGTCCTGCTCAGCAGGGAGCCTGCTTCTCCTCTCCCTCTGCCCCTCCCCCCCGCTCATGCTCGGTCTCTCAAATAAATAATCTTAAAAAAAAAATAAAGAAATGCAGATGTGGGCCCCTCCCTCCCCAATCCTACTGAGCCGGAACCTGCACTTTGTCACAGTCCCAGGCGATCTGTGTGCACGTTAGTTAACATATGAGAAGCTTGGAAAAGCACGGGGTTGGGGAGAAGTTTGGCTGGATGCGTGCCTGTGCTGTTCAATTCTTTGTGATGACATCCCCCCTCCTGGCAGAGCCAATAAATGCATTCTGGGAGGGTTTGAAGTGCAAGTCCGGGGCAGCCCTCAGGAGCTGAGATCTCTCTGTCGCCTCGTGTTTCATCTAAAAATGTCACTGAATGTCCATTCCACACCATAATATATCAGTGGTCATTCTGATATTTCAAAATGGTTACGTACATTGCCGTGGAGTAGGATGCCTATTCCCGGAAGATGCATGAGATGGGTTTCTTTGTATCTTAAATGGGGTAATAATAACCACTTTAAGAGCTCTTGCGAAGATCAAAGGAGAATCATGTATATGGAAATGCACCACATCGGACTCTTTATTCTGGAAGGGACTGAGAATCCTCCCCACACCCAGTGTCCTGCAAGCAGCTCTCTGAGGGCTGAGGTTGTATGCGCTTTTCTCCCATTCAGGGCGAGGCAGGGCTCAGTCCCAGAGAGGACAAAGTCACCTCTGGGCAGCTCAGGAAGCCAGGGAAGTAAACGATTAGGGTCAGCTATTGCTAGTTTGTTTGCTTACATTCCTTAGGAGTCCCCACTTCCTGATTGTTGGGCCAGATGAGCCAGCAGGAAAACCCTGGCAAAACTCCAAGGTTTCAGGGACACCAGGACAGGAGAGAAGATGGGAGTACTTCATCCTGTCCCCAAGTGGGCCCAAAGAGAGGGGGATTCGGGGGGAGTGGTGGTTGCGGGAAATGGGGTGACTAGCAAGCAGATAACAACAATGGGAGTCCTACAGGAAAGGGGACAAGAAAGGGGATTGGGCTGTCAGCACTGGACCAGGAACGACCTTGGGTTTCCATCCAGAGGGCCCATTTCCTAGTAACTGGAAAGGAAAGATGGGGAGAGAGACCCAGAGGGGTGAAATGGACAGAGACAGTGACCATCCCCAACTGAGGCCAAGGAGGAAAGGAAGCCAGACAAGGCATAGGAAGAAAGAGACCCATTAGCAACTGCAGAAGCTGAAGGAGAATTTGGGGATGGATGGGGGGTCAGCCCAGAGCAATCGAAAAGGATGAACACGGGAAGAGCTGTTATAGTTGGCTAAGGAGGTTATGGGTCACCTGTGGCTAGGATTGTGGTAGAATAATGGTGTGAAAGCCAGATTTTGAGAAGAAGAGAATGATGGGGATTTTCTTTTCTCTTCTCCCCATGGTAGCAGTTAGGATTTTCACCCAAATTGCATTTCTATTGCAAATGTCTTACTTGCCATTTAAAACTTAATCCACATAACTTGTGACCAGAACCAAGCCTATATTGTCTCTTTAATCCATCCCTTGGCAAAAAAGTTATTTAAGAAACAGAAAATTGAGGGATGCCTGGGTGGCTCAGTTGGTTAAGCAGCTGACTTCGGCCCAGGTCATGATCCCAGGGTCCCGGGATCGAGTCCCACATCAGGCTCCTTGCTCAGCAGGGAACCTGCTTCTCCCTCTCTCTCCGTCTGCTTATGTTCTCTCTGTCAAATAAATAAAATCTTTAAAAAAAAAAAAAAAGGAAACAGAAAATTGCAAAGCATTGTTTATACTGTGATCCTATCTTTATTTAAAAGAATGTCTGTGGGGGCGCCTGGATGTCTCAGTCGGTTGAGCATCCAGCTCTTGATTTCGGTTCAGGTCATGATCTCAGGGTCGTGAGATTGAGCTCCATGTTGGACTCCACGCTCGGGGTGGAGCCTGCTTAAGATTCTCTCTTCTTCTCCCTCTTTCTCTCCCCTCTCAAAAAAAAAAAAAAAAAAAAAAAAGAATGTCTGTGTTGGTGTGTGTATTTATAAATATGTATGTATATGATAAAGAAAACATCTGGGCTAATATATTTCAAGTTATAATGGTGGTTTCACCGGTATATACATATGTCACTTTAAATATGTGTAATTTAGTCGACATTAATTATCCCTCCATAAAGCTGTAGAAAATTATAATAGGGGGGCGCCTGGGTGGCTCAGTCGGTTAAGCGACTGCCTTCAGCTCAGGTCATGATCCTGGAGTCCCAGGATCGAGTCCCGCATCGGGCTCCCTGCTCGACAGGGAGTCTGCTTCTCCCTCTGACCCTCCCCCCTCTCATGCTCTCTCTATCTCATTCTCTCTCTCAAATAAATAAATAAAATCTTAAAAAAAAAAAGAAAAGAAAATTATAATAGGGGTTATCTCTAATGATCAGATTATGGTATATATGACATAATTCTTTTGGTTGCAAATGACAGACTCAGCAGAAACTTCTAAAGCAAGAACTTAATTGTGCAGATACTTCTTCAGAAATGAGTGGATCCAAGGTGTCAAATCATGACATTAAGGATCTCTCTCAATCTCTCAGTGCACCTGCTGTCTCAGTTATTGACCTCATTCTCAGACAGTTCCAGGCCTGCATCTCATCAGCCTAGCCCCCCAGTGGAAAGAGAGCAGCTCTTCCCCCAAGAGGATCATCACAGTCCTAGGGCTGACTTTCAAGGGCCTGGCTTGGCCCAGGGCTCATCCACAGATCAGTGAATCACTGTGGCTGGGGGAGGCACTGTGTTGATTGGCAAGGCCAAGGCCAAGGTCATGTAACCCAAGAGGCCAACAAAGGAACTTTCAAGGGCCTCTCAGGAAGCCAGTGAACTGAAAAAACGGGAGCTGAATAATTCTCTAGAGGAAATCCAGAGTTCTGTTGCCTGAAGAGGAGGCCTAAGCCCACAGGTGTCTGCTCTTAAAGGAGCCCTCACTGTCTGGGTCATATATTTTTGTAATGACTGTGTTCTAATAAGCATGCATTTCTCTTGCCACGGCAAGAGAAAAATGAGATCCCTCCTTAAACAACTGATTTGGGTTACATCTGGTTATGATCATTCAGGTAACTAAATAATGAGTGTGGAGAAAACATTAAAGCTCAAATCTTGGCCCGAGCCCCTGATCTTATAGGACATAGGCAGAACAAACAGTGTCGAGACCAGGAAACCAGCCTTGTCCTTTCCGTAGATGTTGATTGTGTATGCTCAAGACCCACGGGGCCATCAGACCATCTCTGGGGCTCTGGGTCGCCTGAGCGATGCCTTTGTCAAGCTCAGCTTCTGCCTCTCAGCCTCCTGCCTCCGTAAATAATTCCCCACATTCCTGTATCATATTGCTCTGTTTCTTCATTTCAGGGTTACACTAAGGACATGGTGCCAGACTTCGATGAGAAACATGATGAGTATTTAATATTGCTTCAGCAGAGGAACCGGTAAGATGAGCTGCTCAACGGCAGCCCTTCATATTAGCCAAATAAAAACCCTATTTCGATTTATTAAACAGCATGCAGGCTCTGTTTCACATAGGAATGGGATGCAGGCAGCTTCCACACAGGGGCTCGGAATATTATCTGCAATCCCAGCTCCCGTTTTTCTACTCGCTGATTTAATTGCATCTTTGATTGAGCTGTAGCAAACCGTTCCACATGTAAGTACCACCTCTCGCCTCCCTGCTGCCATTCTGGGAGAAGGTGGCTTTGTCATGGAAAACCTCTAACGTGGCAGGTCCTGTGCATTAGTCACCTGAATAGCCCTGTCTGTGATCTTCCAGGCTCTGATGGGCCCGTGAAATCTGAGCCTATAATCATGCCTCATTAGATCAAGGTGGAGTCGTTTCCCATCTGTGTTTAAAGTTGGTTAATATGTCATTTAACGTTAAGTTGGTACTCATTTTGACTCTGGTATGCTAGCTCCGGAAAAACCCTACGGTAGATGCAGTGTTTGGTGACGGAGGGCAAAGCAGTGTGATCTGGCTGGAAGGAGGCGTCCCGGGGCCCGTGGAAGTTCACGTTCAGTTCATTGTGATTTGTCACCAGGCCTCGGGCTGCGTGTTAAGCTGGGTTTGCAAATTCAGATGCGAGGAGGGGCCGGGCAGTGAGTGAAGCCAGCTCGGTGGAGACGGTGGACACCTGGGATTCTCACTTCCCAGCTGCTCAGTCAGCTCAGGCCAGTTGTTGTTTGTGGGAGCCTGGGCCCAGGGGTCCCTATCCTCCAAGGTTGCTGGAGAAGCTGGAAATCTGGATTTGGGTTTGAAATCCCCGGAATTTTAAAATGTTGGTAATGCACTCAGATTAAAACACAAAACAACGGGAAGAATGCTTCAGGCCCCTATAACAGACCTGCAGGAGTGGGGAGGATGGGGCCCTAATCTGGGCCTTGGGGTTAATGGGAATGATTTTGGGGTCTTGCAGGCAAGAGAGCCGGGGCGGGGGCGGGGAGGGGCGGGGTTGTTGTCATCCTGCGTGTGCATTCAGCCCTCATCTGACTGGCCTGACTCCCTGTGCTTGTCAGGTGGGGCCCCACTGGCATGTTGCATGGATGGGTTTAGTCCTTGGTGTTACAGGAGTTCAGCATTCCTGCCCACCGACCCCTTTACTAAGATGCCCAGGATCCCTAATGCCCGCCCACGTTGCCAGATGCCCCCATTGAGGCAGCGCGACCCCTAGTGGCGAACTCTTGAACAGGTAAACTGTAGGAGCGGCTAGAAGCGCCAGGCAGTGTGTCCTCCGTGCCCAGCCACCCGGTGCTTGTCTCCCCCGCCCAGGGGCGGCTCCAGCTGCGGTAGTAGGAGGCTCGTGCTGATTAGCCCAAAGGGGTTTTTATCATCATTAATGCCATGGAGCAGGGCGTTTTTATTCCGTTCCTGGCAGGCTAGATGGTGCCACCAAACACCTGAGTGATTATTTAATCATATCCGTGTGACTTGTCTGGGAGGACATTGTCATAGTTCCTTAGGAGCAAATTGCTTCTCATTAATCAGCAGATCAATAAGTGCACAATCAAAGGGGTACCAGCCGATAGCATAGAGGAGAATATCCAGAGACAAGGTTGTAGCACAAGGCAATTAAAAAAGATGTCCAAGCCGAGTTGCCATAAAATTTGGGGGATGCGCTGTCACCGAGAGGGGGCTGGCGTGATGACAGGAGCTCAGAAGGTAGAGCTGGAAACACCTCCAGATAGAGACATGAAAAGTGGGTGGCTCCCCAAGCTATCACTGGGTGTTGCTTTAGAGGCACCTTCTCTGGGGTGCTTCCCGTGTGCCAGGCGCCTCACTCCCATCATTTCATTATATCCTCCCACTACCTGATGAGGGGTAGCTACACTCCTTGCACCCGTTTTCCAGATGAAGAAGACCCAGAGCAGTGAGCCATGTGTCCAAGGTCATCCAGGCAGGAAGTGGGGGAGCTGGGCTGTACTTTCTGATTGCTGTTTGGTATGACATTGTCATAAATAATCAGGCAGGGAGAAACCCATCAGAGTTGCCACTTTCATGACGAGGGGTTTTGTGGAAATAAACCGCAGTTTATTGGAGATCTAGTTGTATGACCTGGTAGAAAACCAGCCTCTGGGCTGTATAGTGTGCACAGAGGGAAATGAAAACCCAGTCTGCTGATCCGGGTTGCCCCGTGACCTGAGAAAGGGGGTGTGTGCAGTCACTGGAGCCAGTTCCCAGGAGTGACTTGCCCAGAACATAGCTGCCACAGATGCCCGTGATGTTATTCTTTTACTCATTCAGTAGGATTTTGCTGAGGGCCTTCTCAGTGCTTAGCACTGCCACCGGTGGGAAGAACATCGTGATGAGGAAGGCACAGACTTTGTTAGTTAGTGCTTCTGGGGTCGAACCGACAGAAGCCCAAGGTAAATAGGCCTTAAACAGTAAGGAAACTTATTGGCTCATGAAAGTGAGAAATCCAGCTTTAGGCATAGTTGTATCCAGGTACTCAGCTCTGACTCCATGTTGGAGTCACCTGAGGCCAGTACTTCCTTCACGGGGGGCCAAGGCAGAGGAGAGAGCACTTCCTTCTTGATAGTTCTGGCAAAGGTTCTGAGGTGGGCCCTGGCCCCAGCCCCGAGCCAATCGCCCCCCGTGCCTGGTGAGGTGGCATGGTCTGACGGGCCACTCCTTGGCCACCTCCTTAAGCTGGGTGGTGGAGTGGGTGTTACCCAAACCATATGGAGAAGAGAAGGAATGGAGTGGTTCTGAAAGGGCATCCGAGAGGCTCAGTTTGGAAGATGGGGGAGAGTTGCTGGCGAGGCAAAACGAACAGGTGTCTGCCCTTGCCCTTGAGGAACTCCCTGGGCAGCAGCAGGTGAGCACAAGGCCACCTATTTATAACTATGCCCGAAGAAGCAGAACATGATCGTGTGCTCCAGGAGAGGACCAGGGGAGGTAGAGGAGGATGTGACACCCCCGAGTCACCCCTGCACAAACCCCCCGGAGGATCCTTAGTGATTCTGGTCACTCACCTTCATGAGAGATGTAATCACGCCCGACAGATTCACTCAACAACAGATCAACCAGACTGGGCCAAGTACTGGAGGGCTGACAGCCGAGAGGAGCTATAATACATCCCTCTAGATGCTGGAGGCTGGACTGGATCCAGGAGTCCAGCAGTGGTATTATTTCTTTTTTGGAAAAGGTGGTTTGAGGGAAACGTATAGGAAAAAAATACCCATGAGAGAAGTGAACCCACTGCCCCAAAAGGAAATTCAGGCAGAGAAGGAAGGGGAGAACCAGCACCCAGGGGGGCATTGGCATGGGCCAGTCTCTGAGTTGGAGCTTCAGCCCAGTACCCCATTCCATCCTCATGACACCCCAAAGAAGTCAAGGCACTCTTGATCTCATTTTACAGAAGAGGAACAGGCCTGGGGTGTGTCGGGACTTGCCCAAGGTCACACAACCTAAGGAAATGGGAGAGCCTCCTGTGAGGAGCTTCATCCCTCACACTGTGCAATCTCCACCCATACGATCGGGGATGCTGACATCCTTAAAGGGCGATTCCCAGAGCCCGTGAGCACCGACATTCTGGGAGGAACAGCAGGCTGTCTGCACCACTGCCCTTCACCTTTCTATCCTTCAAGGCTGGTCTCAAATGCCACCACCTCCAGGATGCCCTCACCTGGAATTCACTGCTCCTCATCTGGACTCCCCTTGCTCAGAGGCCCTGTGGCGTGATAAGCGGTGAGGAGACAAGAAACAGCAGAATGGTGTGGCTGGGAGATGGGCTCCAGAGCCTCGAGGACTAGAATTTAAATCTTGGCCGCTTCCTGGGCTCTGTGACCTTGGGCAAGTTCATCTGTAAAACAAGCCAATGGTAGGACCAGTGAGGGAGTAAGAGAGACAACACCCAGGTGTCATCTTCATCACCACCATCACCATATTAATGCTAAACACGCCTTCTCCCTGAGCTGACATCCAGATATTCCTTGAATGCTTGAGCCCTGGAGAAGCCCTCAGTTGGCCTCTGGGGTGACTGAGGTCTGAGGGGCCACCTAGCCTGGTCATCGCAACCACAGCGCTCTCAGGCTGAGGTGGTTCAGCCATCAACCCAGGCATGGCCACGCCCAGGAGTGACCCGCCACCACCCCTCACGCTTGGCTGCGCCCTCTCGTGCCCCAACCCCCCAGTCATGTCCCTCTGTCACATTCCCACTTCCTCTCTGTCCAAAGAGCTGTGTACAGGTGGCCCCACAGGTCGCTACAGGCTCAGACAGGAAGGCTCCAGTGATGAGCATGGGTCCACGGGAGCTGCGTTAGGATGCGCATCCATGTCTTCTCTCCCCTGCTAGACCTGAAGTGCCTTAGAGCCACTTGTTCCAGAAACAGGTATGGAGAGCATTCCTCACACTCAGCACAGACCCCATATCCAGGGGTCTGATGCCCGCGGTAGGAAGGGAGAATAGACAGACACACGGAGAGTCTCCCGTAGTGTGAGGCATGAGTCCCCTGCTCTGAAGCCAGCAAAACCCAGACTAGGGGTATGATGGGGCAGCAGATGGGCAGGGGCTCCATCTTCCACAGGGCAGGGACCGTGTCTGAGTTTTCTGAATCCCCTACACCGAGGGCCCGCTTTTTATGCAAAGCAGGCTATCAGTTAAAAAAAAAAAAAAAAAAGACACCACTTTTTTTTGATGCCAACGTGCGTAGTGCGTATCACTGTCGGCTCATCTGCAGCCGGGGAGTTCCTTCAGCGATCCCTTTCACAGTCTGGATAATTATCTCCTCATTTATCAGTTTCATAAATCCACATTGTCATCAATCATTCTGCTTAAAGAGAAGCACACACGGAGTACCAGCCCCAGATCCCACGTAGCAAGCGGGACATCACCGTCAGCACCCAGGCAGCGTCAGGAGACAGGGCGGCCTCCGGAGGGAGGTAGAGGCAGGCACCCTGTGGCTGGGCGGTCAGACTTTCCACTCTCTGGGCCCCTCCCAGGGCCCGGGCTCCCTGCGCTCTCTCCCCAGGGCCCGCTGCTGCCCACTGCAGCCCTTGGCGGTTGGCTCCAGAGAGTACAAGGATGGCTGTGTTTGGAAAGCGTCTCTTGGTAACTTGTGTTTTCCTTCTGTTTTATGCTGTTGCCCGCCCAACAATCAACTCCCAGGCTTCCAAGGCCGGCAGGAGATAAGAAATCTATAATAAATGTTCCTGCCATGATTGTTGAAAAGATGGATGTAGCAACAGCTAAAGAAACATTTAAAAACCAAACAAAGAAATCACCCGAAATGCCACCCTCCTTCCTCAACATGATTGGATTTTCACGTGTATCACCTTCCATGCCGCGTCCACAAACACACCTTTTTCCAACTTTGCACTTAACCACACACATCCCTTTGTTATTCTGCTCCCGCACCCCCCACCCCCACCCCCGATCACAAGCAATTCCTCACGTTTGGACAGACTCTTCATAATGATCTCAGCTGCATGGGATCCCAGGTTCCATTCCCTGGGGTTGGACTTTTGGGTTGCTTTCAGGGTTTTGTTATGACCGAACACTGACCTGTTGTTCCTGGTCAAGAGTGATTTGCCAGAATGGGCTCACTAAGGGGAAGACCAAGCATATGGCATTTTCTCTATTTTCATATTACTTCTGAAAAGGTTCTGTGAGTTACCAGCAATGTCTAAGCTGGCCAGGTTTAATGTCCTCTCGCTTAGCTGTAGAGATTGTCTTTGTTGTGGTGAAGACTCTCGAGCCAGATTGCTTGAGTTTGCACCCTAGCCCTACCACCATACCAGCTGTGTGGCCTTGGGCCAGTTACTTACCCTGTGTCTCACTCTCCTTATCTATTACATGGGGATAATAAAAGTAATTACCCCATAGGGTTGTTGGGGAAGATTAATGTCTTAATATAGTCAATCCTTATTATTCACGGGTTCCCTAAATATGAATTCACCTACTCATGAAAATTTATTCGTAAATTTTAAATATTTACAGTGCTTTTGTGGTCATTTAAAGACAAGTGCAGAGTGGCAAAAAATTTTGGTTGCCCAATACACACGTTCCCAGCTGTGGTAGAACAAGGGAATACTCCACCTTCTTATTTTAGCTCTTACCCCATAAGTATACTGAGTGCCGTGTCTTCCACATTTTTATACTTTTTATTGGTGATTTTGCTGTTTAAACTGGCCACCAGGCATGGTGCTGAAGTGCTCTCTAGTGTTCCTAAATGTAAGAAGGCTATGATGTCTCTTAAGGGAGAAAAAACATGTGTTAGATGAGCTTCCCTCAGGCCTGAGTTACAGAGTGCTGGTGTGTGAGTTCCATGTCAGTGTCTCAACTATGTATCAAATTAGGTGCCTTTAAAAAGAAACACACACACAGCAGGGTTCTGTATTGATCATTTGGTGAAAATGTTATGAGAGGCTCACAGGAACCAAATCCTGTATTTTCCCCTAGGAACAAAGTTTCAGTATTCACTAACTCCATGTTTGTGGTGACTTCATAAAATAAAACTACTGCGAATAACAAGAACCAACTACCGTATCTGTACCGCAGGTAGAACAGAGTCTGGCACCTCATACACACCCTTGATGTGATTACTGTTTCTATTATTTTTTAAAATTTGCATTTTGCTAGGTTGACAGGAACTTATTTAAAGGGGATGCACCCTGGTTGCCACGCGGGTTGGTTGTCTGTATTTCTTCTTGTGCGGAAATAAAGCTAGTTGATGCGGGGTGCACAGAGGTGGTTGTAGAGACACAGGGATTTGGTGTCCGATGGGAGTGGTTCTCTTGGGGCTGGTGAGGATGCTGCATGCTGTTTATGGTACTGACAATATCAGGAGTTGGGAAAGGATCGAGCCTGAGGTGTGAAGTTGGGTTTTCGAGAAAACTTGAACTAGAGGTCCAGCCATGTTCACAGCAAGACCCTTTTAGCCAAAAGGTGATAATCATATCATTAATCTTGAATTAAAGCCTGCTTTGATATATGCTTTCATTGCATCAGAATATAAACTGATGACATTTGAGATATCAGGAGTGAGCTTTTGAGAACACGTTTATTTACTGAAGCAAAAAGTCAGTCTGCCTGGTCGGACGAAGGATGTTTTATGATTTGTAGATGTTCTCTGAACTCTCTTGCAAAGGCTTAGAACCTAAGACCCTTAGACCCATGTTTTGTTATGCCCTGGAGAAGGTGCCGTTATCCACATGAGGTGGAGATGCATGAAGTTGGGGTCATCCCAGGAGGCCCAGGCTGTGTGGTGATTGCGCTCACACACGCCTGCTGTCTTCGGCCACCGCGGAGAGAGGAATGACTTGCGCCTGCGTTGTTGCTAATGTGCGTTTGAGCCTCAGAACGAAAGCAGAAACACCCCTGCAGGGCCCGAAACAGTCTCCCCCTTGCTGCTTCTCTGTGTGTGTAATGGGCCTCTTAGAGGCTGTTTGTCGATGAACAGCTGGGCACCGGCCACCCGGCCTCCGATTAGAGACGCTTTGCCCGTCAGAGGCGCAGTTCTCTCCCCATGTGGGCTTGGGTGGCGGCCCAGGCTCACATAACAAGGAGCAAGTGATTGTTTCTCTTGCAGGGTGTTAAAGCATCTGAAAACCAAGGACCCCATGCAACTGAGACTGGAGCACTTGGAGCAGGGCTTCTCTGTCTACGTCAACGGGGCCAATTCGGAGCTGAAGACGTCCCCCCGGAAAGCTGTCCACTCTGACTTCACCAGGAGTGCTTCACATGCCGAGGGGACACACAGTGAGCATGGGTCACCTGGGCGCAGTGGAGCTACGTCCCATGCCCTGAAACTTACCAGCAAATAACTAGTTAACCTGTTCAAGTTAACTCTACCCACTTTGCCAGAAAGAGAGCAGGGGGCACCTGGGTGGCTCAGTGGGTTAAGCAGCCGACTCGGGATTTCAGCTCAGGTCATGGTCTCAGGGTCGTGAGATTGAGCCCTGTGTTGGGCTCTGCACTGGATGAGGAGACTGCTTGAGATTCTCTCCCTCTGCCCCTCCCCTGCTGGCATGCACGTGCGCTTTCTTTCTTTCTCTAAAAAAAAAAGAGGGAGCCGGAGTGTGAGAAAGAAAGAGAAATCCCTTTTTATTCCTTTTAAAACTTAGCCTTGGGGCGCCTGGGTGGCTCAGATGGTTAAGCGTCTGCCTTCGGCTCAGGTCATCATCCCAGAGTCCTGGGATCGAGTCCCGCATCAGGCTCCCTTCTCCTTGGGAGCCTGCTTCTCCCTCTGCCTCTCTCTCTCTCTCTCTCTCTCTGTCTCTCATGAATAAATAAATAAAATCTTTAAAAAAAAAAAATAATAATAAATAAATAAATAAAACTCAGCCTTGGCCTCCATTACCCCAGGGCAAAGGTGGCCAGAGCAGTAAATTCCTGGCTTTTCCATTTCACGGTGCCAGTAATTGAAGGAAATGTCTAGAATAATTTAAATTATACCCGATTTTCACTGGATCTGTCTTCACTTTAGTACCCAACCCTGTGTGCTATTTGACTCCACAGTTCATGTCTGAGTGTAGTTAATCCATACCTCACAGACTTTAAACCGGTCCCATGTGTCCTGTACTAAAAGCTCAGAGAGTCTGTGGAGTTGGAATGGGAGCACCCCACCCCGCGGCTGGTTCCAAAAATGACCTGGCGGGACAGTGAATGAAATGGCTGAGCACACGGGGTTGGGTCCCAGTTTGGCCTTTCTTGCCTCATCTGTCAATTGGGACTGACGAGGGCACCCATCCCTAGGGCACCAGAGTGCCCTTGAAGGCAGACTGCTTTGTCTGAGGACCCGGCCTGCTAGCGAGTGGCGGGAAGAGCATTTGGAATGAGGCAGAGCTGGGTTTCTGCCACTCTCTAGCTTTGAGACCTCTGGCAGTCGGGTCCTCTCTGACCCTCAGTCTCCGCTTCTACGAGATGGGAATAATTAAGCCCACCTTGCCGGCTTGCCAGGAAGGTTAAATGACATAAGAAATGTAAAATGCCCATCGCACAATAATCTTGATTCGTGTTGTTCTCATTCGTTGCCTTATAGGTATGGGGAATATCCCAAGCCGTGATAGACAGCAAAAGTCAAAACAACGAGGAGATAAAAGGAGAAAGTAATGTCCCCAAACCTTCGCCTAGGAGAGTCACTGCTGTCCAGCTTAGAGTTTAGCATGAGCTTCCTAGCCCTCCAGGGCAACGAGGGAAGTGGGATGATTCTCTTAGCTCTCAGGGAGGAGGAGTCGGGCCAACCTGCTGCTAGTTGGGACAAGCAGGCCTTTCCTGGTGCAGGTTTCAAGGAGGTGCAGTTAGCAGGCGTCTCTGTACTTGGGCCCCCAGCAGTACCTTAACTCATTCAACAAATAACCCTCCCTTCTGTCTTCTTCTACACAAATGATGGCCTGTACTGCTCACGGTGTGTACCCTGCTTCCCTATCTCAGAGACTGTTCCTTTTGTATATAGACCTGCCGGTTCAGCTGTGACTTACTCCTCCCCCTTCCCTTTCTCCTGGGCATTTGGCCTGTTTTCTAATGCCCCGCTGCTACAAACAGGACTCGCTTTGCATACGAGACTTTGGGCACGGGGTGTGCATTTTAGATGGAAGTCACGCATCTTCCTTGGGTGTGAACTTGTCACGGCTGCCTCGCTGAGTCTCTTTCCCTCACCCCTGGTGCAGATTACAGACGGAGAACCCTGTTGCGAGAAGCAGAGGAAGCTTTAAGACGGAGTTCACGGACAGCCCCCAGCAAAGTCCAGCGCCGAGGATGGCACCAGGTCTGGAAACCCTGGGCAGTGTAGAGACATACGGCCCTAGCTCGTGCTTCAGAACAAGGAGCAGGGTTCTTATGGAAACAGAAACATAATCCGAGCACTGGGAATCCCTGTGGGCAGTGGTGGGTCTGGCTGGGCACCGCACTGGTGTCCTCTCTGCATGTAGTGTTGGCGCCTGGAAGGTAGAGGAGTCTGGGGACCTCCCGCCCCCCTCTGTGTGGCATGATCCTCCCCTCCAGATGGGGGATGGGGCCACCCCAGCACAGACTCACAGCCCCGTGGTGATGACTCATTTATACAGCTGTCTTTTACTGAGCACCTACTATGTGCCAGGCACGTTCTTCGATGCCAGGGATGCAGTGGGTGAATGAGACCAAGCCCCTGCCCCACAGACCTGAGATGCCACTTCAGGGTGCTTCAGCAGCTTGTGGTTTTGAGTGCCAACCAGGTACGAGATGCGGGCTGAGTTCCCACGTGACTCCTCTCCTCTGTCCTCACAGTACACCTGTAGGGCAATTTCCAAATTTCTTCCTGTTTTAAAGAAGCCAAGGAGATGAGTGCTCAGAAAAGCCAAGTGAGCTCTCCGAGGCCAACCACTAAGAAGTGACAGTAGCAGGACTCAAGCCCAGATCTTTGTTCCAAGTGCCGTATTCTTGCCCGTATAGTCCTTACCTTGCGGCTACTCACATCTTGTCTGGGATCAGTGGGTCTCAGCCCCCCCAGTGCATTCACATCACCTGGGGAGCCCCATCCCCAGAGATTCTGACTCACTTGGTCTGAAATGAGGCTTAAGCAATGGTGTGTAATCCTTTTTAATCCTGTGGTCACCCAGATTTGGATTGATTTTTTGCCCTGTGCCGTATGTGTGGGTCTGTAGGAAATATTTCTGCAAGCTTTATTGGCCGTCTTTGCAATAACCCTGTAGGTCTATTACTGTCCTCATTGTACCTTTGATGAAACTGAGGCCCAGAGAGATAAGCTGACTTTCTCAGAGTCACAGAGCTACTAGGGAGGTTTGAACCCTGGACCTGTGACCCCCAAACCCATTGGTCTTCCCTACCTTTGTGGGTCTGTGATGAAGTACTGAGGGTGTTCCTGGCCAGCTAGCTGACTCCCACAGCCTTATCTTAGTGCAGGTGAGCAAGGCCTACAGGGCACACAGCCTAGAGGCCTCCTTTTGTCCCCGGCAATGAATGTTAATTTCTCATTAAGGAGGCCTTTCTCCACTTCCCACTTCAGACCCTCCTAGTTGTTTCGAGTGCCTTCTATTATCAGGAGCCATATTTGCATCTTAGACTGTGACTTCACAGCTGGCCCCAGAGCCTGTGCAATTTAAAAGACTTGGCCTAAGATTAATTAGCATCCCTCCCCAGCCTTTCCCTGCGGTCCCACACTTCACAGGGCCTAATCATGGCTAATTTCCTGGCTTCCTGATGCCATGAAGGCTGTAATTGTCCTTCTGCACTGTATCAGTCAGGGGTCAGTCAGTGCCTAACAGTAGAGACCACTCAGGCTGTTTTAATCAGAGATGAACGGAGCACAGGGAAGTGGGTGCTTGCAAGATCTCTGGGCGGCAAAAGAGGAGGGGTCCTGAGCTGGCGGCCTCCAGGAATGGCACCCAGCCTTCCAGGAAATCTGCTACCTAGGACAGGGTGGGGAGGGTGGAGGGTCAGCATCAGGGACCATCCAGGAAGCAGGTGACCACCGCCACAACCCTTGGCCTCCGATGACACCGTGCCTGCGAGAGCAGCACTGCCCATAGCCTGTGCGGCCAGGCTGGGACGCTTGAAAACCCATCGCCTCGGCCACTGTGCCCAGCACAGAATCGGCCACCATGTGTCCCCTTCTTTCCACCTCACTTCTGCTCTCCCTGCTTGTAGGAGGCCATCTGATGGGCTGTAGCTAGCTCACTTCCAGAACGTCCACAGAAAGGGCATCTGGGAAACACAGACTGGCTTTCTGGCCTCTACTGAACACAAAGTCATCCTAGGAATAAAGTAGAAGGGGTTCTGGGGGGTCAGCCCCCCCGACTACTGCACGGACTCTGCTCCACCCACATGCCATGTTTTGGGGACTACCCCCTCTCGATACGGATAAACCAGGGAGCATTCAGTAGTGGTGAGAGGACTAGAAGCCATGTCCCAAAAGAAATTATCCTTTATTTATTTATTTATTTTAAAGATTTTATTTTTATTTATTTGACAGAGAGAGACACAGCAAGAGAGGGAACACAGCAGGGGGAGTGGGAGAGGGAGAAGCAGGCTTCCCACAGAGCAGGGAGCCCAATGCGGGGCTCGATCCCAGGACCCTGGAATCATGACCTGAGCCGAAGGCAGACACTTAACGACTGAGCTACCCAGGCACCCCTCATCCTTTATTTTTAATTTAGCAAGCATTTATTACCCCAGGCCAGGCACTGTGTGAGGCTCTGGGGTTAGAAGCAAACAATCACATAAGGCTTGGTTCCTGCCCTTGCAGCCCCAGCTGTGAAGACGGGGGGTAGGGGGCACTGTCCCGCCCACAAGGAAGATGTGACAACCGGTCCAAGCATAAGGAGGACTGGCCTGCCGGACTTCCAAGTAAGCAGCTTGAGGCCTGTGGGCTGAACTTGTCCCCCAGAGAATGTTTTTTGGACTCACACGGTTTAAAAAAGACTTAGTCACTCGCTAACATTTAAATTCAAAAGTTTTTCTGTATTTTTAAAACGCTCGATTCCGACTTCCCTGGAAAAATGGAAAGAGCTGGCCGTCCTGCTGGGCTTCGCCTCCCCACAAGGCAGCCATTCGCAGAGTGCGGCCCCGTCAGGCCGGGTACACGTGCTCCCGTTTGCCACAGTCCGCACCACTCCCTTTAGAGCCCCCGAGCCGAGGCCAAGTGGCGGCTGTAGCCTGTCATTGTGCTTGGGCTGCTCTTTCCCTCCCACCTGCTGGCTTCCCGCCTCTCCATTTCCCGCCTGGCCCACTGGGGCCTTTGAACCTGTGGCCCCTGGAAAGACAGGAATGGGCTTTGGAGTCAGACAAGCTCCTTCCTAGCTGTGTGTCCTGGAGCTGGCGGTGGGACCTGTCTGAGCCTTGAATCCATCATCAGTCAGACCTCCCAGGGCTGCCAGGAGGGAGTGCGTGCTCGGTGTGTGGTTTGTCAGCAGGGGCTGTCCGCTGCTTTGGGGAGGGGCACCTGGTGGCCGGGGACAGACGAGCCCAGAGAGATGAGTGAGGGCACCGACTCAGGAACCCAGGGGCCACAGATCCAAGCCTGGGCTCCACCACTATCCAGTAGCACGGCCAGGAGAAGCGGCTCAGCGTCTGGTGGCTGCTTCCTCATCTGCAAGTGGGGTTAGGAGTGGCACCTGCCCGGTAGGGCAGTTAACAAGGACCGTGGAGCCTGACCTGACAGCTGGGGAGAAGCAGAGCCAGCCCCACAAAGGTCTGGCGGGAGTCTCCCAGCAGAGGGCACGGTGGGGCGGCAGGAAACCGAGTCAGGCTGAAGGGACCCTGGGGTGGCCAGTGTGCAGGGACGGAGACAGTGAGTGCGGGGTCAGGGGTCACAGGTCAGAGGGGGCAGATCACACAGTGCCTGGAAGCCCCCAGGAAGAAGTTTGGATTTCGTTTTATTTTATTTATTTATTTTTTTTTTAAGATTTTATTTATTTGCGAGAGAGAGAATGAGAGACAGAGAGCATGAGAGGGAGGAGGGTCAGAGGGAGAAGCAGACTCTCTGCTGAGCAGGGAGCCTGATGTGGGACTTGATCCCGGGACTCCAGGATCATGACCTGAGCCGAAGGCAGTCGTTTAACCAACTGAGCCACCCAGGCGCCCTGGATTTCATTTTAAATGTGAGGAATCTTCTGAAGGGTTTTCAATAGGAGAGTTACGTGTTTGGGCTCACGTTTTAGGAAGATCCCTGGTGGCCGCATGCCAAAGGATGCCCATAGGGTCAAGTGGCTGCAGGAGGACCAGGCAGGAGACTTTGAAGCAGGGCTCCCCCCCCCCATCCCTGCCATGAGCCTAATGCAGCCTGTGTCTCTTTGTCCCCCAGCCTCCACCTCACAGCTCTGTCCCTGGCCCCCAGAGCCCCCTGATCATCTCAGCTTCCTCGACCCATCCCGGGGTGTCATCTCCCCGGTCTTTTAGTATTCGTTTGTGGAAATTGTCCAGGAGAGAGACCATCTGAATCAGTCGGTCAGCCTGGACCAGATGCCCTCTCCCGCCTTGCTAGGCTGTGACCAGAAGCGAAAAGCCTGCCTGCCCCGGAGCTGTTCCCTGAGCAAGGCCTGGAACCCCAGCTTCTCATCCAGGACAATAGATAGACCCGATGTACCAATTGCACTGTTGCCTGGAGGAAGAGGGACTGATTGGGTTTCCTTTGACCCCAACAAGTGGAGCTAAGTACGAAGTTTCTCCCTGGTAGAAAGTACCCAGGGACAGGTTTTGGGGTGCATAGGATAGGAAGGAAGGCCGTCTCGACCTCACTTTTTTGGGTGGGCTCCACTGTCCTTGGAGGCAGCCAGAGGTAGGCCGTGGTCAAGGCGGCAGAATCCCCAGTGGCCAGTGGTGGCCAGTTCTCAAAAGCCACTCGATCAGGAGACGTCCCACCTCCTGGTCCCAGTCCTGGGGCTGCTCCTGTATGGCTGTGCCCAGCAGGAGGGACAGGTGGGGGCCACAGAGGCACTTGGTGTTTTGGTACTGACCACGGCCAGGTCAGCAGGGGACACAGAGGTCACAGTGCCCAGGGAGCCCCGAAGTCCCAGCCCACCCCTGGCCAGCACTGCTCCCTCGCCGTGGCCTCCCTGCACTCTTCAGCGGGCCGGCTTGCCAGTTTTTCTGAGTGTTGCCCTAAACTCCCCTGGGTCACATGTCCCCTTCCCAGTGACCAGGACCAATACCTTTGCCTCTTCCAGTAGAATAAGTTCCCTTCTTAGGGTCTTGTCCAGCAACTAGGAAGCACTTTCGGGTAGAGATGCCCCTGACAGAAGGGGCTGCCCCAGGCACACAGGCCCAAGGATCCCTGCTCCACAAGGTCACAGAGTCATCCAAATACTGGCCCAGAGCCTGACCTGGAAAACCCTTCTTGGGACTCTCCAATTGTGGGAGAGCCAAGGAGGTGGATGACGGCGCAATGTTGGCTTCCGAGCTATTGCCTGCGCCATGGACTGGGCTGGAGGTGATAAATGGGCTCTTGTTGGTACTGTCCTTTATCCACCACCACTTCTCAGCCTCAGATTTTTCTCCTGCTATCAGTGGATTAAGATTTATGGCTTCCTCAGCCTTGTAATACTTGGGTGGACAGCGGCCTAATCAACAGAGCCGTCGTTTACCAAAATGCTGTCAGATTTGATGAACGTCATCGGCTCTTAGCATTAAATTGGTGGTGAAGGGATTGGCCTTTCAGCAATTTACTGTGGGGTGGGCTTTCCTTAAAGGCCCAGAAAGCAAGTTCATTGCAATTTAAAGCAAAGGCTTTGCTTTCACTCTACTGCTGTATCCGGTTTCCTGTTGTGGGCCAGGCAGCTGAAGCACCCCCAGGAAAGTTCACGAGTACAAATGTGAAGCCCTTTCCTTTGTTTTCCTATTTCTGAGTTTTGAAAACCCCTGCCGTGAGGACAATGAATGAAACAACCCATAAAGCATCGGCTTTTACAGCAACCTTGCATGACGCAGACTGTCAGAGTGTTGAGCGCTATTATTTATAAGAGATCAGACAAATCCGGGAAGAACATATCAAATAAGGTAGATTTACTCCCCACCCCAAACCTGCCTGTCAGGATCGTCAGAGCTCTCTTACTTCTAGAGGGAGCTACTTACGTACTGCACAACCTGAACAACCATACAGGGCAACCCCTAGCCTTGATCTTTCTAGTCTACAGTAGCTTGAACGCACATCTCTTAGAACACTTTGCTAAGGGGGCGGCAGATACACACCGATAACTCTGGGCACAGCCTTGGGCTGAGTGTGGCTGAGGACAAAAGCTGGCCGTGGGCCGGCAAACTGGAACATGGGTGTTCGGGGATCAGGGCTTTTAAATCCTGTCCTGGTATGTGGGTGATACTGCAGGGGTCTATCCAGTCTGGGTGCTGCAAGTGGGCAGGAGAGAGCAGCCACTTACAAACACCCACTCCGGGTAAAGCAGCGTGCCAAGCGGGGAGCCAGCCAGGAGCTCAGGCATCATCCTTGCAAGCATGTGAAGGTGGGAGGCAGGGAGCGGGCGCCTCCTGGGGGCTGGGCTGGAACCTGCCAGCCTCGTGCTCCTATTGGGAGGTGGGCGTCTTCATGTGGGTGAGGCGGCTCCCCATCTCCTCCAGTGGTGGCAGAGGCGCCTCCCTGGGGCTGGGGTAGGAGAGCAGGCCAGATGGAAGACTATTTATTCCCCTCTCCAGCACCCACTCAGCATTTAAAACTCTTTCTGGACCACATTAATCTTGTCAAATGTTGCTTCCTAAACATGTTCTTCTGTTGTGTGTGCTGTGTGAACTACCGGAGGCCAGGCCATTGGTGGTTACATTTTTTGCTGCCTTGACATGCTTCCAGAACCGTGTATGCAGTCAGGATTCAGAAAGGACTTGTTGATTATACATGCCCTCATGCCTACTGCAAACCCATCTCCTGACCTTTGGGCAAGGCAAGCAATTGTGCCAAACTCCCAGGAAGGGAGAGGAACACTTCTGGGGAGGGGGAGGATGGGAAAGCAGCAGTGGAGAGAGACATACCTGGGCTCTCCTTCTTGAACCCTGGAGGTCTTTCTCATATTTATCATTCAGATCAGACCCGGAGAGCTGCATTAATGCCAGCTCTTTCACTTGCGTGGGAATTCCTAGTTCAGGCATGGCTGGATCCAGGCACTCAGACAGTGTAGCCGGGCTTGTTCTCCATCTCTCAACTCTGCTTTTCCCCATGCTGCTCTGCGTGGTACCAAGGTGGCCACCATCAGCTCCCACCTTACGTTCTGTCAGCCTACTGTTGCATCTCTTTGGCTTCCCTGAACCAGTCATCTAGTCACTCCGGGCCCGCAGGATCTAGCGCTCAGTTTGGCTGGGCCTGTCATATGCTCCAGCCACCCATGGACTCAGTTCCACATGAACACTTGGATTGGGGGTGGGGAGGGAGGGAGAGGATTTCTCCCAAAAAATCAGGGTGCTTTTGCCCAAAGACGGGGGGCACATGTGGGACGGGTGGAAACGGCAGCACCCACCACAAAACTTAGGCTCATGCTACTCAAACTTCAGTGTGCGTGTATGTCACCGGGGCTCTTGTGAAAATGCAGATTCTGATTCCTAGCTCTAAGACAGGGCTTGAAATTCAGCATTTCTCACAAATTCCCCAGGAGAAGCCGAGGCTGCTGGTGCACAGACCGGCTGTACGTGCAGTAGTGAAGTCCTAGTCCAAGCCTTCCCTTTCTAGCTAAAGGAACAGAGAACTATGGAGGGGCCAGGCTGTGCCCCATGCCCAGTGCCCCTCCCTCCATGCCCCTGCCCCTTCCCCCTCCTCTCTCCCTCCCCCTCGCCCTCTTTCCAGCCCTTCCTCCTTCTCTCTCTGTCTGTCTCTCTCATTTCAGCATTTGGATGCTATTAAATGGTTCCTGAGGAGGAGGGGGGAGCCCGCCCTCCCCAGAGTTACGGTAGAAAAATCTTTCTTGGAGATGAACTTCAAAGCCCTTACAGCTTCATCCTGGCCCAAGGCAAGAAGACTCTCCGGAGTCTCCTGGCCTATTCCACGTACAGCTTCCCCTCCATGCACCCTGCAGCCGCCCTCCAAAATGCTCTGAGAGCAAGCTGACACAGCCTGGGAGGCAGCGGGGCCACACTTGGAGTCAGAGCATGGGGGGCATGGCCAAGTGACGGATGGCCCTAGGGAAGGAAAAATGTGGGGCGCCTGGGTGGCTCAGTCGTTAAGCGTCTGCCTTCGGCTCGGATCATGATCTCAGGGTCCTGGGATCGAGCCCAGCATCGGGCTTCCTGCTCGGTGGGAAGCCTTCTTCTCCCTCTCCCACTCCCCCTGCTTGTGTTCCCTCTCTCGCTGTCTCTCTGTCAAATAAATAAAATCTTTGAAAAAAAAAAAAGAAAGAAATATGTCCCGAGCACCTTCCTTCTGCCCCTCTGCCTGCTCCCTGTTCTCTGACAGGGGGCTCCCCACCTGCCTTTTCCAGCCTCTCTTTTTCTTTACTCTCTCTTGCCAAGATCTTTTTCTCGAATGATCTATAGCCATGCCCCTGCCTACTTTTTTGAGTGTTTGATATTCTCAGGAAATTCCTTGATTTCCCTCTCTTCTCCCCAAAGGCCATGGTAGCCGAGGCTGGGCACATTTCTTCTTCACATGCCCATTGGGGGCAGTACAGTGGGGCAATTTAGTACTGGGGTCGGTGGGCAAACTCCAGCTCATGGGCCGAATCTGGCCACAGCCTGTTCTTGTAAATAAAGTGTTTTGGGGACCCAGCCATGCCCGTTTACTTAGGCAATATCTGTGGCTGCTTTCGAGCTACAATGGGACGGTTCAGTACTGTGACGGAGACCATATGGCTGGCAAAACCGAAAATACTTTCTTTTTACAGGAAATGTTGACCCATCCCTGGTTTAGAGCAAGGCCTCTGGAGCTATCCTGCTGGGGTTCAGATCTAAGCTCTGCGGCTTCCTAGTTGTGTGATCTTGGGCCAGAGGCATGGAGCCTGGTGCCTCGGTTTCCCCCTCAGGTTGCTATAGGACTAAGTGAGCATCTAAAGCACTAGGAGTAACACTAGTGTGAAAGTGCTGATGGGGGCGGGGGGCGGCGTGACTGTGGTGGAGAAAGGTGTTCAGTCCTAACCAGGGAGAGGCCTGCAGGGCAGTAAGGTTCGGCATCATGTCCTTCATCATCAAGATAACCGCTAAGTTCACCAAGCTTGTGGGGACGCAGAGTCTTACAGGGGTGGAGCGTTCTAACCCAGGACACGAGGAGAAAGGCAGGGTCTAAATCTCTGTCCCTCGGAGGGGTAATGCATTCAGTACACATGGCGTGGCCGACCTCTTCCTTCTCTCCGGAGCCGGGCCTCCCTAGAGCGAGGCCCAGAGCAGAAACTTTAAGGAGGCCCTCGCTCTTGGATTTGTGCCCCGTCTTAAATGTGGTGCCTCGCTGATGCCCCCCTGGCCCCAGCTCTGAGAAGTCGGGAGGAAAAAAGGACCCCCAGGGTCTCCTAAACTCATTGGATCACAAAGCCAATTTGGGGAAGTTTATCACCCCCTAACGTTCTACTGCTAAGGTATTTCAACCGAAAAAGTTGCTTTAAAAAAATTCCACTGAACATGCTTTGTGCAGTAGGAACCAGTAAAGACTTCTGAGCAGAGGTGGCGGGACCCGTCGGGCTGGCCCTTCCGAGCCAATGCCGGGCCAGCGTGCCTCGTAGCGTGACTACTGGGGGACAGGGACATGCCACCTCGCGGTCAGCCCCCTAAGAAGCTCACCCCTCAGAGGAATCGAGATGCTTGTTCCATTGTGTCTGAAACAGCCTCCTTTTGTCTAGAAATCGGTGCAAATCAGAACGGAAGCTGGTCCGCGGCTCCACATCGAGCCCCCTCTGGACTATTCTGAAGATTCTGAGGCATGTGGAGATGAGACCGCCAAGGCACAGGGTGCTTCTGGGGACCGTCCACAGGTAGGACTGGGCCTCAGCTCGTGTTACAGTGGCTCTCAGGGTGCGTTGTGACCTTCCTTCCTTATGCCCCTGAGTTCTTTCACTCCGACATTCATCTCCCACACTCTAGTGAGCGCCCAGACCACGGGCTAGATGCTCCGCTAGGGCCCCCGGAGTCCAGGTATCAGTAAGGCTGGTGTCTGACCCCAGAGAGGCAACAGCATAGGATCCCTCTACCACAGGAGGGAGCTGAGGGGTGGGGCAGGGTGTGGTGGGCCCAGGAGAGAGGGTATCCAGGAAGGCTTCCTAGAGGAAGTGACATTTGCCAGGGTCCTAAAACCTGGGTGAGAGTGTGGAGCAAGGAGGGAAGGGGAGGTGGGCAGAGCTGATATTTAGCTGAAACCTGATGGGAAAAGCATTGCAGGCAGAGGGAACAGCATGCACAGATGCCGTGAGGCTGGACTTGTTGAAGGAGCACACTGTAGGCCCAATGTGAGCCCCAGAGGGAGTGTGGGATGAGGTGAGGTTGGAAGGGCAGTGGGGCAGACTAGGAGGTGCACAATGAGCCTGGCAAGGGGTGAGCATGGGTGGTTGGATTTTATTCCAAGGTCATTGCTTTTATACATAGAATGAGTGCATAGATTGTCTCCATGGCTATGCAGAAGCAAAATTACCGGGAGGCAGCAGGACAAAGTCAGGCCCCTAAGCCAGCCCCTGCCCCATTCGCCAGGCGTGTGTTCCGCTGTGGCCCCAGGCTGCAGATGCAACAGCTTCCATCAAAGAACAAAGTCTTGCTTCTGTATCAAAAACCTGCCTTTAAGAAATGCACATGACTCATAAAATCTGTGCGAACAGTGACCAGAAAACATTCCTCTGTGGTGTTGCCTGTTTGTATGTCCTTCTTGGCACATAAAAGAAGGACAGGTAAGGAGCAAAGGGTCACTTTGGTTCACATCCTGGCTACAAAAGTCTGAAAGTAAATTGGAAATTCTGTCTTCCTGGAAGAGAAAAAAAAAAAAAAAAAAAGCCCTTTTGTTTTTATAGAATAACCCAATGACCTTGTTTCTTACCCAGTCCCTAGAAATGGGATTTTACAATAGGCAAAGTTGTAGTGTGGACTTTATTGCCTTTAACACCCACCTCCCACACAACACACACACACACACACACACACACACACGCTTCTGAATCAACAGAATGGTCCCTGCTCAGGATCTGAGCACATGTCTGTGCAAATAGCCGTCAGTCTCCCTTCGTTTGGGAGGCTGGTCTGCGGCCAACTTCAGTCTGTTACAGTCCCAGCCACGCCCCCTGTCAGAGAACGTGTGCACGTCCTTCATGCAGGAAGTGGGGTAGTTCCCTCGTCTCCTTTGGCCATTTGGTACCCCCGCCCCCATTAAATGAACATATAGTCCTTCCTTGGCAAGCTCCCCAGCTCCCTGCAGCACCAGACAACCTGCCCCTCACGAGCTATGAAAGCTCCCATTAGCATTCCCGTGTGCACGCGTGCTCTGAATCCTTATCGCCCTGCCCTGCCAACACTTCATTTTCTCCCCCGTGAGTGCTTGATTGTATTTCTTTCTTTCCTTTCCCTCCCCATCTTGAGGGGGCACTCCGTAAGTCTTCACAGTCAATTTTCCCTTGGAGTTATTTCCTGCTAAGTGAAAGAGTAAAATGGTGACGCTAGTGTTCGGCCAAGGCAGAAGCCGTAAGAGATGCAATCGGAACGAGAGAGAGGGGGAAAAAAGGCATGTGGCTAAATATACTCAGCCACCTCACACTGTTTGCAAGTGCAGCTCTGAAATGGAGCAAAAGGAAATGCATGCCTGCGTGTGTACTTTTCATCTGACCTTCACCGTCGAAACACACCAGCCTGTCTGCCTTCACTCATACCCTTAGCGATCTTCAATTTCTTGGTGGCTCTGAGTTCACAGACCCGCATGCTGCAGGCATGCTCTGTTGGCCCCCAGCCCATTGACGTGCATGGGGCTTTTGAAAGAATTACTAGCTGACATTTAAGAATCAGGAGATTCCGTGTCAAAATGTGAACTGGGGGCTTGTCTTGAAGAACCCGAACATTCGGGGCCCCATTCTTACATGACAGCAGCAGCTGGACCTGAGGAGCAGCCGCCCCGGGAGACACGGCCCACGGTCCCCGCTCCAGATCCCGGGCCCTGTTCTATACACTGAGGATAAAACAGACAGTAGGCAATGGGGCTTATCAGAGAAATGGCAAAGGGCTGGAGAAAGACGGGCAGGGGCTTCTCGTTGATGAGATGCTCCGTGCGCAGTTCCCGAGAAAGCCAGGGAGTGAGGCATGTGGGGAAGAGCATGCCGGGCACAGGAGCCGCAGGTGCGGAGGCCCCGAGGCGGGAGGACAGGGGGACGCCAGTGTGTTTGGGCGCTGGGTGAGCAAGCGGGCAAGGAAAAGAGGTGAGGCCGAGGCTCAGATGGCCCAGGGCTTTGAGGCTGTAGTAATGGCGAGGGATTCTGTTCTGAGTCAGGGGGGAAGCCACTGTAGGGTTTTGAGCAGCTCAGGAACTTGGATGAAAACAGGGTGCCTCTTTCCAGAGAGTTCTGCCAAAGAGCCAGGTCTCAGTCATGTTGGGCTTTGTGTTGCAGTGCATAACAGGGCTCCATTTATGTATCAGGAATGAAACAGTGCACACTCTTTTCTATTAGTAAGATGTGGTTTTTTTCCCTGATAATGCACAGTCTATATAAAGAATTCAATTGATAACAAAGAAAATAAAAGTCTTTTCATAATCCCACTGCCCCAGAGATCATAGATGGGTATATCCGTTCATAATATAGATTTCTTGTATTCATTTTATGTATGTGTTGATTATATCCAAGAGGAGGTGGTGGATCTGGAATGTTCCAGTCCTGGCCCCTTCCCAGTGAGTGGTAGTCCGCGAGTTTAGTTATCGGCTCTGAGCTTTCCCTCCACTGTATGGACCCTGGAGTGGGGTAAACTGGTTATTTGCCCACAATTACCGTTCAGTGTTTTCAAGTCTTTGTTACTGGCTGACACGTGGAAACAACTAAACACGTGTCACAAGCTGTGTCCCCAGCAGCTCTGCTCCCTGTGGACTCTGCCGAGGCCCACGACGGCTCACCCACCTGGGGGTACGGTGGAAATTCTATTGTGCCATCACTGGCCGCCCCACTGGTCCCCAGCAGGGCCCCGCAGCAAATCCCTTCAGTCCCCCTTCAGTAATTTCAATGGTGAGGCTTAAAAAATGAAGGATCGTTTTTAGGGCCGTCCCATTGCTTGGGTACTTCTGTTTTAGATGACCTTATAAATAACTTCACAGTGAGTACTGTTTTTTCCTTGACTTTTTTTAAGATTGTATTTATTTATTTGAGGAGGGGGCAGAGGGGATGGGAGAGAGAGAGAATCTCAAGCAGACTCAGCACTGAGCGTGGAGTCGGATGCGGGGCTTGATCCCACGACCCTGAGATCATGACCTAAGCCGAAACCATGGGTCAGACGCTTAATTGACAGAGCCACCCAGGTGCCCCTCCCTTATTTCTTATTGTTACTTTCCCAAAGATGGGATTATATACCATCCACTCTATTTGATAACCCCACCTTTTTTATTCAGCAAGATGTGGTGGCCATACCTCCACGCTGGTCGTCACTCAGTCCTCACTGAGCCAGTGTTTAGGTGGGTGGTGGCCCAAGTTTAAATCCCAGTCTGCTTACTTTCTACGGGCCTGCAGTGGTGTGGGTGAGGCAGGGATGAGTTTGACCAGATCCGCTTTGGGAGCGGGAGCAGAGAAGGAGGAGGAGGTGAGGAGGGAGACGGGAGGCCTGGAGACCAACAGAGAGGACGAGGGACCAGCACATCTTCAGGGACGTAAGTTGCTTTTCCTGCGCCCATTCTCTCTGCTTGCCCCTAGGGTACCAAGTCTTCCGCCGACACCACGCCCCGTGATTTTCATTTCACCCTTCTGGATGCCCACGGATGCCCTGACCCTGCAAGCAATACAGACAAAGAAAGGATCCTCTTAACTATTCAGGATGTGATGGTAAGATGGATTTCAGCCTCATAACCCCACAAAGGGCCAGGGTCTCTGCCAGAGCCAAGCAGTTGGGCGGGAGGTTGAGCCCCACGAGAGCATCTTCATTTACACCTGGGAAGATGGCGCAGGTCACACAGCAGGATTTGGCTTTCACAAAAACCTTGGACCCACCCACTACATTTAAAACAATACACGTGAGATTTGATTTGATGCTATTTTTTTAAACATAGTAGAAGCTCATATTAAGTGAGCACTTACTAAGTGCTATGCACTGTGTTGAGTATGTTACACCCATTCCTGCATTAACCCTTTGGGTTAAATGCTAGGTATTTTTCTTTTTTTTTTAAGATTTTATTTATTTATTTATTTATTTATTTATTTATTTATTTTTTAAGATTTTATTTATTTATTTGACAGAGAAAGACACAGTGAGAGAGGGAACACAAGCAGGGGGAGTGGGAGAGGGAGAAGCAGACTCCCTGCCGAGCAGGGAGCCCGACGCGGGACTCGATCCAGGAACTCCAGGATCATGACCTGAGCCGAAGGCAGTTGCTTAACCAACTGAGCCACCCAGGCGCCCAAGATTTTATTTATTTATTTGAGAGAGAGAGAGAGTGAGAGAGCACGAGTGGGGGAAGGGGCAGAGGGAGAGGGAGAAGCAGACTCCCCACTGAGCAGGGAGCCCAATGTGGGACTCCATCCCAGTACCCTGGGATAATGACCTGAGCCAAAGGCAGATGCTAAACTGACTGAGCCATCCAGGCGCCCAAGTGCTAGGTATTTTCATTCTCATTTTGTAGTTTGGGGAAACTAAGAAGTAGAGAAAGGATGTGGCTCTCCCAGGCCTCAGAGGAACCCAGACTGGAAACCCAGACCCCGTGACTCCTTATTTTTTGCAGTTAACGATTATAGGCTGGGAATTGTGCCGAGCTGCTTTTGCTCCCCAGAGTGCCCAGTTCTCTGTAGGGGCACAGTCTGTTGTGAATGTGATTGATAATGCCTGGAAGCAAGGTGCTGAGAGGTGGCCATCTATCAGTTTTGCTTAGGATCCAAAAGACCTCTCCGCAGTGAACCCAGAGCTGGGGACATTGATGAAAAATTTGGGAAATTGGGAAAAATGAAATCCAATGAGGAGACAACCAGACAAAGCCAAATTGAGCGACTGTCTGCAAAACAGCTGGCCTGGCGTCTTCAGAACTATCAGTGGTATGAAAAAGGCTATTCCAGATAAAAGAGGCTAACAAGATGCCACAGTTTTAGGCCACATGAGATCCTTGCCGGCAGCAGAGGGGTGGTAATTGCCCTAAGTGTAAGGATGGTTTGGGGAAATTAACAAATTTGAAAATTCACTATGTCAGATAACAATATTGTATCGATGTTAAATTTCCTGAATTCGATAATTATATTGTGTTTATGTAAGAGAAGGTCTTTGTTCGCAGGTCTTCCGAGAATTGGTGAAGAACCGATGAATGTAGGTGCAGGGTTTTTGGGTATTCATTATACCCTTCCATTATACTACTCTGATATGTTTTCTGTGGGTTTTACCTTTTTTTCAAAATAAAAAGGTTTTTTTTTTTTAAGCTATCACATTAAGGAGATACTCTGCTTCAATAGAGCTAAGCATCAGCAAAGAAAGAAAAAGTTTAAAAGGAGACCTAGTTGAAAAAGCTTAGTAGGATTGTATTGATGTTAATTTTGTGATTATGCTATTGTGCTTTAATTATGCAGGGTGTTACCATGGGGGAAACTGGGTGAAGGGTACATGGTATCTCTCTCTGTTGTTTCATACACATAGCATACGAAATCTACAGTACACACAATGTAAAAAGTAAAAGCTAACTAAATAAAGCAAACACAAATGCACAGGTCCTACCTTCCAGAGGCTCAGATTCTGATCCTGGGTTTGGTTTCAGGCATGGTGTTTTTTGTTGTTGTTGTTTTAAGCACCAAAATACGTGACTGTATTTTGTAGCAATGTTTGAGAACCACAGTTTTAAGAAAAGAGCTGTGGATCTCAAAATTTGATATGCATAAGAATCACTTAGGATATTTGTTTGAAATACGTATTTTAAATCTCATTTTTTAAGCTAATGGAATTTGTATATAGGAGATAGCATAGTTTTTAACATAAGAATTTTCAGTGATTCTGAATCAGAAGGCCTAAAGATTTCAGTTTACCTCATATGGAAGGGAAGTTTTGGAGATAATTTGGACTTTGTGGGTTAGATCTGGGGACTATAAAAGAAAGGAATTTTAAAATTCAAAGTTAAAATCTCTTCTTCATCATACAAAATTAAGATAACTGTAAAGTAAAAAACAAAATAAAACAACAATAAAAATCCAAGAGGTTTACAAAAGCCAGAAAGGGATGGGAGAAAGCACCGCCCTTGTCTTCAAAACCATATCCTGTCCTTCCAGAAACTCAGATGACAGAGGATATTAGTTAAAATAATAAATGAAAGACACAAAACCATAATAGCTCCTGATGGCATCTCCTCTATTACAGATCAATTTCTATCCAGAAATTGACCATTAGTATCAAGGAAAGACTAAATTATGTTTTAAGAAGACACGAAAGTCCAAATATATTTTAGAAATATTTTCTTTCTTTCTCTTTTTAAAGATTTTATTTATTTATTTGACAGAAAGAGTGGGTGCATGTGCGAGAAAGAGAGCACAAGCGGGGTGGGGAGGGGCAGACAGAGAGGGAGAAGCAGGCTCCCCACTTAGCAGGGAGCCTGACGTGGGGCTCGATCCCAGGACTCTGGGATCATAACTTGAGCTGAAAGCAGATGCTTAACCGACTGCCTTCGGCTCAGGTCGTGATCCCAGGGTCCTGGGATCGAGCCCCACATTGGGCTCCCCACTCCATGGGAAGCCTGCTTCTCCCTCTCCCACTCCCCCTGCTTGTGTTCCCTCTCTCACTGTGTCTCTCTCTGTCAAATAAATAAATAAAATCTTTTTAAAATTTTTTTAAAAAAAGAAAATGAATATGAATGCTTCATATTTGATTTTTCTCACTTTACTCACATTCAAAATATGTACTGTATGGTGACTAACATAACATAATAAAAAAAAAACAAAATATGTTTCAAACTGGAAAAAAAACAATTCAGAGAAAATAGGGGCATGTAGGAGAGGATTTATTAGTTATGACTTGAAAAAATTAAGCTGGATTTCAAGATAAGAGTAGAAATACAGTGATGAATAGAAGTAGGTGTGGCCAGCAGGGAGGTCCTGGACCCCGGACTGCGAGGGCCAGCTTCAGCTTACAGATGTGTCCCGTTGGCTGGCTCGTGTTGTGCTGGGGTCATCATTATTCCTGCTGTACTTTATTTTAATTCCAGTATTGCTAAATGCAGTGTAAAAACAGCTTCAGGTGTACAATATGGTGATTCAACAATTCTGTACATGACTCAGCGCTCAGCATGATAAATGTACTCTTAATCCCCATCACCTGTGCCCCCCACTTACCCCCCTTCTGGTGACCAGCTGTTTTTCTCTATAGTTAAGAGTCAGCTTCTAGGTTTGTTTCTCTTTTTTCTCTTCTTTGTTTTGTTTCTTAAATTCCACATATGAGTGAAATCATATGGTATTTGTCTTCCGCTGACTTATTTTACTTAGCGTAATACTCTCTAGCTCCATCCATGTTGTTGCAAATGACAGGATTTCATTTTTTTTATGGCTGAATAGTATTCCATTGTATATATGTATGCCACAACATCTTTAGCCATCTATCATCGGACACTTGGGCTGCCTCCATAATTTGGCTATTATAAATAATGCTGTAATAAACATGGGGGTGCATGTATCTTTTTGAGTGAGTGTTTTCATATTCTTTGGGTAAATACCCAATAGTGGAATTACTGGATCATATGGTAATTCTATTTTTAGTTTTTTGAGGAACCTCCATCCTGGTTGTACCAGTTTGTGTTCCCTAGTGCACGAGGGTTCCTTTTTCTCCACATCCTCGCCAACACCTGTTGTTTCTTGTGTTTTTTATATTAGCCATTCTGACAGGTGTGAGGTGATATCTCATTGTGGTTTTGATTTACCTTTCCCTGATGATGAGTGATGTTGAGCATCTTTTCATGTGCCTGTCGGCCATCTGGAAGTCTCCTTTGGAGAAATGTCTGTCCATGTCTTCTGCCCATTTTTTAATTGGATCATTTGGGTTTTTTCAGTGTTGTGTAAGTTCTTTACATTTTGGGGTTTTTTGTTTTTAGTGTTTTATTTATTTATTTTGACAGAGAGAGAGAGACAGCGAGAGGGAACACAAGCAGGGGGAGGGGAGTGGGAGAGGGAGAAGCAGGCTTCCCACGGAGCGGGGAGTCCCAACGCAGGGTTCGATCCCAGGACCCTGGGATCATGACCTGAGCTGAAGGCAGACACTTAACAACTGAGCCACCCAGGTGCCCCTGTTCTTTACATTTTGGATACTAACCCTTGCAGATATCTTCTCCCTTTCAGTACATTGTCTTTTCGTTTTGCTGATTGTTTCCTTTGCTGTGCAGAAGCTGTTCGTTTTTAAAAAAAAGATTTATTTAATAGGGAGAGAGCAAGCAGGGGGAAGGGCAGAGGGAGAGGGAGACAAGCAGACTCCCCGCTTTTTGGGGAGCTGGATGCGGAGCTTGCTCCCAGGACCCTGAGACCATGACCTGAGCCGAACTCAAGAGTCAGCCGCTCAACCTACTGAGCCACCCAGGTGCCCCAGTTTTATGGTTGTTTTTGTAGTTCTCTGTTCCTTTCTTCTCTTGCTCTTTTCTCACTGTTTGCAGGCTTTCTTTAGTGATATACTTGGATTCCTTTCTCTTTATTTTTTGCATATCTATTACTGGTTTTTGATTTGTGGTTACCATTAGGTTTGTATGTAACATCTTATGCATACAGCAGTCTATATCATAAAGTTGATCGCAGCTTAAGTTTGAACCCACTCTTTACTCCTCTCCTCCCCCCAGCATTTTAGGTACATGGTGTACTTTACATTCTCTTATTTTGTGAATCCC